AGCGCCTCAGCTAAGACGCCATCAGCGTGGGCCAAATCATTGAGCAGGCAGCCAAGTAAACCAAAACATTAGCAGCAGCAGGAGGTACAGTGGGGCCGGCTATTAAACACTATATCTAAATTTAGGCACAACAATATATTATACAATTCTTATAATGCCCATTCAACTAGCATATAGACAACTCTTTAGCGAATTTATTATTATAAATATAGCTTAAGGTATGTCTTACTAAATCTATTTAAATTACAGAGAAACAGTTGCTCGGACACGAATAAAATCTACTGTTTGCCAAGTTCAAACTACTTTCAGAAGTATCTTAAAACAAACATTTCCTAGCCAGCATTATTTTTGTTTATGCACTACCTTGAACCACTGTGCAATGGCATTTTACATGCCTGCCGACTGCCGTTGCGGCTGCTATTTCCGCCTTGGCGTTTGCGGGCCTGCAGCAGCCACACAATTTACAGCAACCACTCGCTTTACATAGGTGCCCCGCAGCCCGCAGCCCGCAGCTAGCATCCCGCGCCCTACACCCTGCTTCAGTCCGCCCGCCTTCCGTTTCGACCTCTGCTCGCGCCGAGCGTTTGAAAGTCGCGTGCAGCGTGTTTATTTGTCAAAACATATTTGCAGCGCCTTCGCCGCCTGCGCCTGGTTGCCATCTGTTTATAATAAATTTTAGTTGCAAATTGCAAAATGTTTACAGTGGGGCCAGGCAGAAGAAGAAGAAGAAGCAGCGGCAACAGCAGCCTTTTTTCAACGCTAATATGCAGTTCATGTTTATTTGTTAGATAACGGTTTTTGGGCGCATGTATGTGTGCATTTGCATTAGTGTGTGCCTGCCGGAAATTTGGGTTGCCCATTGGTGTGCCTTTTGGCAGTTTATATGACTTTTCATATTGCAATAGAAAAAAAAACATAAATAAATAAAATAAAGAGACTAGAAAACCGAAGAGCACATTGCGAAATGCATGCAAATAATTGGCGCCTTTTGTCAGGGTCAGGGTATTCTGAACTTTTGTTGGGGTTGGGGCTGCCATTTTGGCAGCCACTAAAGACCAACAAAAATGTCAGAATGCCAGCCAAGCGCAGGCGACAAGAGCTGTCAAAACTATTAGCGGCTATGGGACACAAATTTACACACACACACACACACACACACACACACACACACATATGCACATATTTAGGCCATTCAAAATGAATAAGATTATTTCTCTTCACTCAAAATGCCAAGCAAATATGTAGGCCAAACAGCAAAAAGCCAAAAACGAAACACTGTTGACAATTTCTGTGTGTCTGCTCGGACCATGAATGAGTTCTGCTGCTGCTGCTGCAGTGGGCGACTTGGAGGGTGGGCGTGGCAGAACATGTGCACGCCTTAAGTGCCCGCGGCGCACTGACAGCTTCATTAAGACTTTTGCGCGCTTGCAAAATGCCTCCAAGTCGATAATGAGCAAAGATCTCGATGACGCTGCCACTGTTAATGATGAGGCGGCAACGGCGGCTACTGTTGGTCAGCGTCGAGTGTCGCCAAGCGTATGACTAAACAAAGCTAAGACAAAAAAATAAATAAATAAATAAATGAAACAAGTTGACAAATGTCAAACAGCCGCGAGATGGCCAAAAAGGTGGGCGTTTGCACCAAATATGTAAACATGAACCAACAACAAAGCGAATAAATGAAAACGAAGGGCCAAACGTGAAGCGCTAGAGCTGAGCATGTATAATTTTGTAATATACAAATTTTGAATTTGAAAACTCAGGATGTGTCTGACACAAGTGCTTCTAGAAGCAGATAAATCTTAAAGTTCCGAAAAAGAGGAAAAATAAAATAATGCAACGACTATGCTTATTTGTGAAGTGATCCGCTTTGCACCCTAAATTCTTAGTTTTAACTATTATTTACCATGAACTTAAGTGATAAATTGCTTAAGTAAAAGCAGAACCTAAACATGAACCGGCACATTTCTATTAAACGCTTTGATTATCATTCAAGGTAATAAGTTTCCGAGTTCCATGCAAAAGGCTTCTTTGAAAAGCCACGCTAACGACTCTTTTTTCTCAGCGACTCAACTATTAGGATCCATCTCTACTCAGCAGTAAGCAGATAAAATAAATTTTGTACTCACATTCTTTATTCTTATCCATGGCCGGCTGCAGCGGACTAGAGTCGACAATGGCCTTTGGCGGTGATTGACGGGCATCATAGCAATCGGAATTGTTGCCGTCATCGCTGCTGCCCAGGAACGTCGCATGCAGACGCTGTTCGGCTGCAAAGATAGAAAGTAGTCCGTGAGCTAATTGGGCCAACCAAACAATTTAGATGTAAGGAAACACTCACCCTCCGACATATCGTCGTAGGCCTCTTGCAGTAGTATTATGTTCTGAAAATTATGCTCCAAGGCCTTGCCGCTGAGCCGTGTGGCCAGCAGGCCGTTGCAGCTGTCGCTCGAGATGAGCTCGACGGTTGTCAACGGCGATGTGGAGAAGGTGGCCAGCAGCGAAGAGCCGCCGCTGCCGCTGGCGCTGCTACCGCTGCCGCTGCTCAGGCTGTGCAGCGATGCGGACTTGACCAATTGGCCAACCTTTGGGCTGTTATTGTGCGTCTTTTGGGTGGCCTTGAGTGTGCGTGTCAGGCTCTTATTGGGTGACGTCGATGTCGACTTGTTGAGCAAACGTTGCGCCGTTGCTGCACTAACTGATTTGGAGCTGGAGCTGGAACTGTTGCTGCTGCAGCTACTTACGCTGCTAACGCTGCTGCTGCTGCAGCTGCTGTTGGACTTTTTGGAACAGTTTGAGCTTATGGATGAGGCGGGCGAGGCTGATGAGGAGCAGCTGCTCAGTATGGCCGATTGCTGCTGTTGTTGTTGTTGTTGTTGTTGCTGCTGCTGTTGTTGTTGTTGCTGTTGCTGGAGTGTATTGTTGCTGCTGTTGGCTGATTTGGTATCAATGCTAATGGGTATGTTGCTGGCGGCCACCTGCTTCTGCTGTCGTTGCTGCTGCTGTGGCGTTTGTGGCTTGTTTGTTGTCCCGGCGGCGGCTGCTGCTGCTGCTGTGGCGCCCGATGTGCTTTGAAACCAACTGGGAAAGTTGCCCTTTAGCGTATCAATTAGATCCTGATCGAGCGTTAAACGCCACGATGCAGGGCCGCCGTCCACGCTGTGCGTAGACTCTGCAATTGGAAAACATAGTAAATATATATTAATTACAAGATACCCTGCGTATACTTAATATGCCTAACGATATATCAAAACGCGTAGGTCTTTCTAAACGCTACAAAGTCTTATTTTCCTTAAATTGTTTTAATCTTTGCTCTAGTTTTGTGCTTACTTTTTGGTATTCAGTTATTTTGAATAAATCTGCATTCATATTGGACTCTTTGTTGACCTGTTCAAAAACAAAATTCAAAACGACGCCCAGTCACTTGACCTCCTCAACTGCTAAGCGAGCAAATTTTAGCTGGCCTAGCTGGCATATAGACGGAAATATATTATATTTATTTATTTAGCCAAGCTGTTGCGCACTTATTTATTTTAATCTTCACCCTTTGACGGCAAAGCCAATGACGCAGCTGCCCGTGTGCTAGTTATTTGTGCTAAGCACTGCCAAGTAACCTACTTAATGCTGGCCACGCCTCACTCCTCACGCCCAGCCCCTCGGTGAAAACCTAGCAACGCGCGTACTTGGTTTTTCCTTTACTTTATTTTATTTTATTTTATTTATTTCTTTGTAGTTTATTTTCTTTTTTTTTAAGCTTTCTTTGGCGTTAGTTGCCTTGTGTTTATTTACGAACTTGTCAATGGTTTTGCCTATACGCAAATTGTTTAATATATTTGGCATTTCTCATAAACTGAGTGTGTGTGCGTGTGGGTGTGTTGTTTGCTAACTATGCAAGTAATTGTAATAGCTGTAAATGCGTTGAAATTTTTTGGCACTGACCGTTATTGCATCAGGCGAGCGCGACATTCCCAGACGCGCCTCAAGTTATGCAACAGTTTGTCAACATTTTTAGCTCTGTCCGCAAATAGAAACCGTGAAAAATAAAAACCTTTTTATACCCTTTGCCAACGAGCTGTGCATTAGACTGACATGCACTTGTCAAATGTACCGTTTTGGCTGAGCTCTTGTTATTTTTGGCAAATGTTTTATTTTTTTTCAACTTATTTGTTGTTATTTCTATTTATAGTTGAATTTGTTTAAAGGTTTATTTACTCTGTTGTTAAATGGACCTATTTATAGCTAGCTTTAGGCGACAACTAGCAGCTGCTCAAGTTTGTTTTTCAGTAAATTCCAAAATTTGAAGACATAGCACAGACATGGCATAATGTTGTTGCCACATGTATTTTAATTAATGTGGGGCGCCAAGGTAGCAACTGTAGCAGAGCAAAAGAAAGCAAACAAACAACAATAGCCACTTGCCACAAACGCTGCCCCACGCGACGCCTGTTTCCGCTTGGCAGGCATCAATGTCGCCATCAGCTGCCCCTGTCCCTGCCTCTGCGTGAGCCTTCTGCAAGACCCCTGTTACCCCAGATGTGTGGTGATGCTGCAGCATAGCTTTGATGCTCGTTCGCTCATTGGCGCGACATGTTGTCCACACGCAGCCAACACAAAGCCATTGCCAAGTCTATTTTTGATCAGCCAGCCAGCCACTAGCCAAAATGCAAGTGGCTTTTGGTCTAAAATCGCTCCAAGTCCCATCCAACAGACGCGGACGAACGAGACGCGGATGCAACTGACAACACCTTGCCCATTAACATTTCTGCCAATGGGGCGTATGCGAAACGTAGACGCCAATCTGATGCTAAATTAATTAAAATCAAGAAACTTGATTGTGTTCAAATGCAGAAACTACTTAATAGTAAAAGCTTGTGTCTCAATCAGCTTCTGAAAAGTCCTAGGTTTATACTATTTTAATATTAGATAATATACATTTTTTACATAGTTACAAATTTATTCATATTCTATATTAAAAACCCAAATAAGAAAAGTCAGTTTGTCGTTCACCGTCAAAGCAATCTATTTTATTAATAAATCCGGAAACCCGTATTGTCGGTTTCTTTGTTATTTGAAATTTAGAAAACACATCGAAAAACTTACTATACAGAATTAGCAAGCAAACGAAGTCATGGCCGATACACCAGACCGACCAAGCAAGGAAAATGTAGCGGAGTCGGCTGGCAAGGAGGCCAGTCCAGAGCAGGCGGTTAAGGAGAAACCAGCAAAGGGCAAAGACAAGGAGAAAAAAGGCAAGGAAGACGATAAAACTGGCCGCCAATCGGGTGCAACGCCAGCTGCCCTAGCTGCACAAACTAAGCCAGCGGTGGCACGTTATGCGCCCACGTATCGCCTCGAACCAAAGAATCCTTTGAGGCAGGAACGCCTGGAGTTAATCGTTAAGGCCGAAATGAATAAAAACTATGGCGCGGATTATAGCTTCCATCCGAAGTACTCTTTGCATATGGCTGCTCAAGTTGCCGAGGATATCAAGTCTCGCATCAAATTATTGAATTTCGATAGATATCGTTACATAGTGTTGATCACAGTTGGCGAATTTCTCATGCAGGGCCTCTACTCGATGGCAAACTTTTTATGGGATGCCGAAAAGGATGGTTATGTCAACTACACGATTGAGACGCCCACGTTTTTTGCAGTATGCACAGTATTTTATATATATTATGATTGAGGAATGGGGCAAAACAAGAAGTATGCATTAAACTCACTTATATATTCAATTTACATAAAATATATGTTGGTTTCGAAGCTCGTGCAAAATATAAAAATAAAGTCTTATAATAACAATTAGGAAACAAACTCTGTCCAGATATACATCAGGGGAAGGTTTAATACATGCAAAATCTCCAGTTACTCTCACAAACAGACATGGCATGAACAGAATATCTTGGCTGTAAGTTGCTGATTTATGATTGGCTAACCTGCGTTCTATTTGCAACATAAATTTGTGCCTTTCACCAATTTTATGGGTATAGGGTCTGAAGAAGTATAACTGCACCAGATAATCGCGTATAAGCCAAGCCAAAGTGGTAGCCCATTGGCAGCTAAGTCGTAAATTTTATGGCCCAACAGCAACAGTCCTTTTAGCCAACATCTTTTGACTGTCCATGCACAAAACTAATCATTCAAAACGCAGCGGAAGTTGCGGCGGAAATTGTAGCAGCTGTTACTGCCGCCCCTTGTGTATGTGTGTGGGTATGCGTGTGTGTGTGTGAGTGTCTGCTCGGGTGTAGTCGCCTTTGCTGCTGCGATGTAAACATCAATTATGTATGCTCCGGTATATGCCAGCAGCTATACACGAGCCAACGCGCCCGCAAAGTATACTACAGAGCGCGGCACACTTTTGTCTTGTTGTTTTTGTTGTTGTTGGTTTTCTTGCCGCTGTCTCTGCGTGTGTGTTTGTGTGTGCGTCCGTGTCTCTGTCTCTTTCTGTGGCTGGCACTTCCTCTCGGCAACAGGAAACAGGATGCTGTTAATGTTACAATACGACATAATCGATGCTTGTCGTACGAGACTCGCATTTAACCTGGCAATTTGTCGGCTGCATAAACATTAAGTTTTATTTGCAGTTTATCTGCACGTTACATGGCCCACATCTCACACACACGACCCGCTTGTCGCCTGCCACTGCTGGCAGCCATAAATCAAGCAATGGCAACTTTAATGGCCAGACCAACTTTATGGCACAATTAAATTGAAGGCAACAAATAATAAAACAGCAGCGGAACAACAAAAATTGATTAAAAAATGCAAAACGTGCTAAACGCTGACCTTTATAACAGCGTGACGTGGCGAATCGTTGTTTTGATTTTTTTATTCTTTTGGGTTTGTTTTTTTTTTTTTTTCATATACACATTTTGACATTTCTGTAAAACAATCTACGCGACGTTTACATATTCATTTGAATGCCAATAGCAGATGCAGCAACAGCAGCAGCAAAGCTGCTGACAGCTTCGACAAGCGAGGATTATGCAAGCGCCACAGCTCGTGAATAGCATTCGACAAACCAAAAATCAAATATATCGCATATAACAACAATAAGAACAACAACAGCTAAACGCACGCCATGTGTCGCTGTGTATGGCTGTGTGGGTGTTTCTTTAGACACAATATGTACTATGTATATGCTGCAAATTGAAACGTGTATTTGTAAACAATATGCAGACGTCATAGACAAAACTCATTTAAATTAAGGGAAAAAAAATAGCAAGAACAACAAAAGCAACGACAGCTCCAACAACCACAACAACTAATATATATTAAATATGAAAAACAATAAAAATTAGAAAAAGTACAGAGCCAAGAAGCGCACAGTTCAGCAGCTATTTTTTTCCACTCGCTATTTTTTGTTGTTTTTGGTCATAGCGCTGAAAACTTGTTTTACTACAGGCACCACAACGGCAACAAGTTCAAAATGTGTATAATACTATAATATATTTAATAACAATTTATAGCGAACATTTGATTTCTTCTTGTTTTTTTTTTTCTAATTTTAATATGCAGCGAGTCGTTTTTGCCTTTTTGGTGCGGGCAGAAATTTCGCATGTTATCGCAACATGACAAGTGTCAGCGATATATGCCAAAGGGGGGCACACGGCGGGATATTTATTGAAAAAAGCAAAACAAAAATATATTGAGAGCAACGGCAAAAACTAACAATTTGACAAAACGTGTTAGTTATGGACACGTACTAAAAAAAAAGCAAACATTTCATAAAAACAGCATTGAAAAACGTTTTTCTATCTGTTTTTACTTTTCGGTGAAGCTTATCAGACTTTATGAGTCACATATATAAATGGATTGAAGTAATATATGTCTAGAGTTGGACTTACTTCAGGCCAATAACAAAGGCAATAACTTTTTGAGAATATTAATTATACACATTATTTATATTTTACTATTCTGTTATTTGTTTACTTTTGGGCACTCTCTGCAGCTAGCTTATCTTATCAATACACCTTCGAGCTGCAGCTCATTTTTTGTTTGTTTTGTATTTTTTTTAAGCATATCACTTTTTAAGTAAGAGATTAAGTTGAGACTTGGCAAATGAGTCATGGAAGCACTTTATCAGTTGATTGTCAAAGCGGAACGCGGAGCGTGAAAATGTTGTTGTCCAACGTGAAGAGCGCGCACCGGCAAACTAAGTCAAATTGAATCGAGCGCCGAGAGTCAAGCAACACGTTTGTGGAACAGAGCCGATGACGAGTACTGAGACTGACCAACTGACTGAGTGACTGACTGACTGACTGAGTGCTTGAGGTGTCTGAGGTGCCTGAGATGCCTGAGGTGGGCGTCGACTATCGACAGTCGATAGTAGTAGACTTAACTGGCATTATGCGCGGTTCTCTTGCTCTCTCTCTCTCACTCACTCACTCTTAATTTAAACAGCATTTTATGCTGTTGACATATTTGCGCTGATTGATGGCACACGGCTGAACAAGCAGTAGAAACAGAGAATCGGAGAATTGCAGAATACAGCACAACAATGGCTGGTTAATAAGCGAACAAAGTACGCAAAAAGCTGGCTGCACTGTTGCACACTGCAGCCGAAATTGAATTAAAGCTGTTTCTCTGCGTTTGCTGCATGCAAATGAGTTGTGGGCAACGTCAACGTCAACGTCTGCGGTCGGCTAGTTGTTGGCCGCTGCTGAGTTTCTCCCTTTGTGCTACCTGACCAAACAATTGCAGCACAACAAAAGTCAATTGGACGGGCACACACACAAATTCGAACACACGCACACGCACTCTCTGGACTACCGACTGGCTGTCTTGCAACATGTTTTGCATACAAAGCAGCGCCTGTAATGACGCCGACTGCCTCCATTGCCTGTCCAGGATGTGATGCCTTAGTGTAGCACTTCGGGCACAATGCGAATTGTGTGTGTGTGTGTGAGTATTAGTGTGTGTGTATGTCTGTGCAGTTGCAGGCACTTTTGTCTGATAAGTTTTCACTGGCCAGCACCACAGGCATTAGCAGCAAGGTAGAGTGAAGTTCGTTTTTAGTTTAGTTTATTTATTCAACTCATACTGCAGCTTTAATGTGCTTTGAATACATCTAAATCTTATAAGTCAAGTGTTGATTAATAATTGGAAAATAATTAAATATGCCATCAATTATGTATATAGATATATTGTGCAGCCTAGATTTAGCTAAACTGAACTTTGCTCAAGCATTAATGTTTTGTTCTACTTCCCTCGACGAGAACTGCACATTTAAATTTACATAGTTAATACCTTTATTTGCCAGAAAATGTTTGACAGCTGGTAAACAACATTTGCACTACATAAACAAATCAAAATTTATCAATTAGTTCTTGCTTTGCCAATAACAAATCAAAACAGACAAACATAAAACAAAATCATTTTATACGATTTGATTTGATTTCCATGAAATGCATAAATACGCTTGTTTTACAGCTGCGGCTGCTCCTGACAAGGCTCGAGGCTTGTCACATTGTGTTAATTGTCTGCGGACGGTGCCCAGTTGCTCGTTTCATGGCCTGGCGGCTACTGTTCCGGCTCTCGAGCGCCTTATAAATAGGCTGGCAGGCCGATTGGTTGGGTATCTCTGTGTGTGTGTGTGTGAATGTCCTCAATTAAAATTAATTATGCCCAAACGATACGCTCAATAAAAATTTAATTTGCAAAAATATGAGTCAAGAAAATGAGCCACATAGACAAAATTTGACATTTAAGTGCTATGTAACACACACACACACACATACACACACACCAACACACACAGACACATGCGCACACATACTACAGCCCAAATAATTGAAATTGAATTTTCAATGATAGAGAAGAACAAACACTATATGACGATGTCATCCCGTCTGGTTGTTGTTGCTAGCCACCCGCACGAGCATTTTGGCAAAACTATTTTTAATCAAGTGCACACGTCGGTTGATTTTGGCAACTGCTGCAAGCCACACACAAGAACACACACGCACACACGCAGAGCATACCATATATTTTGTGGGATGCTATCGACCGGATGCTGTGGGCGTGACCAGGCCAACAAACAACTGGCCGCCCTTTACAGTTAACAAGCTCTCCGCTCTTCGGTCTCCAAAGTATGTCTCAAGTGGGCGGTACGAATAGAACAATAAACACTTGGCCGGAATATGTTCTGCATTTAGTTTTTATCAGATCAGGCGAGAAATACAAATTAAAAATAAATTGGGGAAAAGAAGAAAAGAGAAAAATAAAAATCAAAAGTGTAAAATTCAACTTGTTGGCTCTGTGATCCTCTTCTTGCCTCTACTTCGGCCATGTTGCGTGCCAAGTGGAAAATATTTCGCAAGTTTTTCTACATGAGTACGTATCAACCGTTGTGGTTGTTGTTATTATTGTTGTTGCCGCTCTACACATTTATTTATTGTGCGAAAAGAAAAGCAAAAAAGAAAATGAAAGAAAAAAGTGGAAATACTAGAGAGCAGACGTACTGCGGCTAGCCAGCCGGGCAGGCAGCGTCTTGTGTTTAGTTTTTGTACATTTAATTTGGCATTGTTGTTGGCTTTGGCTCTTCTTGTTGCTGTTGTTGTTGTTGTTGTTGTTTTTGCTCTTGCCGGCTAAACAATAAAAAAAAAAAAACAAAAAGAAGCATAATAAGCAACAGCACCAGCAACAACAACAAGAATGAACATTTTTTGGCAAACAATTCAGGGCTAAATATTTTGTTTATATGTTTTTATCACACACGCCAGCACTGAACAGCATTAAAAGTTGTATAAAACAACAACAAACTTTCACGTTAAAAATTGCAAA